CTTTTTTGTGATCTTGTAAACCCTAAGAAAACACATTTATGTGATCTAGGAGAAAGTTTGTCCAGACCAGAACTAAAATTATGAACAAAACATGTAGAGCCAAAAACTTTTAGAAAACTTTTAGAGGTAAAGGATGAAGTGGTTCATGAGGGAATAAAATGGAATGAGGTATTTTATTATCTAAAACCGAAGAAGGCATGCGATTAATGAGATAACATGCAGTAAGAAGAGCATCACCCCAAAAATGTTGAGGAACATCTCCATGAATTAAAAGTGTGCGAGTTGTTTCAATAAGATGTCTATTTTTACGTTCAGCTACACCATTTTGTTGAGGTGTATAAGCACAAGAAGTTTGATGCAAAATACCGTGAGAAGCCATGAATTGTTTAAAAGAATGAGAAAGATATTCACGACCATTATCACTACGCAAAACTCTAATAGAAACACCGAACTGAGTTTGAATTTCATTAAAAAAAGTTTGAAAGATATGAAATAATTCAGAACGATTTTTCATCAAAAATAACCAAGTGCATCTGGAATAATCATCAATGAAAGTAACAAAGTATTGAAAACCTAAAGTAGACTTAACGCGGCTAGGTCCCCAAATGTCAGAGTGAACCACGGCAAAAGGGGACGAAACACCACGTGTGAATCTACGAGGAAAGGAAGTACGACTATGCTTGCCTAATTGACATGCCTCACACGCCAAACTAGATAAGTTGGACAAGGCAGGGACATGTTTCTGTAACTTGGCAAGACTTGGATGACCTAACTGAGCATGAAAAAGAGAGGGAGACTCCATAACTGTACTAACATGTGTAGAGGGACGAAGATAATAAAGACCATGAGACTCACATCCTGTGCCAATCACCTGTTTCGAACTCCGATCCTGTAAACACACAGAATTGTTGGTAAAAGTAACAACACAATCAAGAGAACGAGTTAGACGACTGATGGACAACAGGTTAAAAGGAGACCCAAGGACATAAAGAATATTATCAATGGTTAAAGAAGGAAAAAGTTTAACCGTTCCAACACCATGAGATGATACTCTAGAGCCATCATCTAGTGTAACAGAAGGTAAATGATTAGGAGAGGATAAAGAGGAGAACAAAGATTTGTTACCAGTAATATGATCAGTGGCTCTTGAATAAAAAACCCAAGGACCAGGAGAAAATGATTGGGTCAGACCAGCAAAATATGTATTTGTATGTGTGACAGATATAGTGGAACTAGAAGACTGTTGATCCTTATACCATTCGAGAAATTTGTTGAACATAGCAGACATGTCGGATGCAACAGAAGAAGGAAGATCCCCTACAGATAAAGGTGGGGAAAGATTTGTCTGAACAACTACAGCAGACTAAGGAGGACGACCATGTAATGTATAACACTTGTTAATCTTGTGACCTAGCTTGCCACAATGTTCACACTTAGGACGCCCTTTTTCCTGTTTGCGAGGGCGAGCCCAGTCATCATGATGGGATGTCAACACAAAAGAATCGTTAACAAAATTGGAAATAGTGGAAGAAGTCATGAAGAGCGGGAGAACAAACCCTAAAACAATCCAAAGTAATCCAATTAACCCACGAAGCACAAATCCAAAATGAGAATACTAAAAATAAGTTCACCAAGACTAAACGGTGCAGGAGACAATGGGACGACCAACTCCGATAGTGGTGATCTCAATGGCACGGTGGTCACCTGACCGAGACAAGCAAAATCATATGTCACCGGTTAAAAAAATTGAAACTCCGGCGAATTCTCCGACAGCGGCGGACTCGGTGACTACTCCAGCGGCAGCGGTGACAGTAACGTGAACTAGTACACCAGGTAAGTTCCCAGGAAAGAGAGGTGGGTCACTAATGGACACACTTAAATACCAAGTCTTTCCTTGCCAGAACTTTCCTAAACATGCACTTTCACACTACCAAATAAAATTCAATGACAAAGATAATTCTTTTCTGATGTGGAGGATCAGTTTACCAGCAGCGATGGGGCGGCTCTAGCAGCGGTGGGGCGGCTCCAACAGTGGACAAAAGGCGGAAAAAAAAATTCAAGATAACCTTAAGCTCTAGATACCATGTTGAATATAGAGAAAATAGGGTTTGGAATTAATTTCCCTTGTGTATAAATCACACATAGGGTGGTCTATTTATAGTAGAGAGATACAACTAAAAGAGTAACTGAAAGTAACAGAATAAACAAAAGATATTGTTTGGTATTGTGGTTACTAATATCTAACAATATCTTAACAATATCAAATAATATCTAAACAATATCTAACAAATATGAATAAAAAAAAAGAAAGTAAATGAGAGGGAGAGAGTGAAGAAACCTCCGAAGAAAGTGTCTCCGCCGTCAAAAAGAGGCGGTCGAAGCGACGCGATGGTTCCGACTTTCCAATTTTTGCGTTTTTATGGGTGATGTTACAACGCCTTTAGGTTGTCCGATAATCCAGCTCAACCTAGAGGCGAGGTTTTTGAAAAGGTGTTCTTGCATTGTGCGATAACCGGGATAACCCAAGAACTAATTTGAAGGGATTCTTATGGAGTCGCCACCGATGTTTTTACCGGAAACATCGAAAAAGGGGTAAAAAGGCGTTGGTTTTCGAAAACCAACTTTGGTCATTAAAACCAGAGTTTAGGTAAGGGAGTTAGTTACGTGTAAGGGAAGTGTTAGTTCCCTTACGATGCCCCTTTAGGGTTTCCTATGATAGGCCAACTATTTTATAAATAAACTTTTGAAAAGATGCTTTTACCCTTTTTTTTTCCGGAATTAAAGTAACAACTACATGGCCCTAATGTCTATTATGCAATTTAATCATAAAAATAAAGACAGTAAAAGAGAGGGAGAGAGTGAAGAAACCTCCGAAGCAAGCTTTTTAATTAATTCTCTAAAAATTAGGGTGCATTTTGGTAGCCCCTCGCTCTTTACAACGCCGAAAACTCTCTCTAAACGCTATAAAAAGCTTTCAAAAACTCTTAGAAACTCCGGAAATGCTTCGGAAGGGCTCTAGGAAGAGAATTTGAAGAAAGTGTAGAAGGGAAAGTGGAAGAACTATGTGAAATGAGGGGGGGAGCGCCCACTATTTATAGGGATTCGCTCCTGTCAGGTCGAGATGACCGTCTCGTCTGACAAGGTCGAGACGGCCGTCTCGTCTGACAAGGTCGAGGCGGCCGTCTAGCCATTCGGGACGGCGGTCTCGACTTGTAAAAGTGGCGAGACAGTCGTCTCGTTTGGCGAGACGGCGGTATCGACTTTTCCAGAGACGAGAAGTCTTTCTTGCCAAATGGGAGGGGGGTCTTGCCATTCGCAAGTGACGAGACGGCCGTCTCGCCAAACGAGACAGCGGTCTCAACTTGCAGTAATGGCGAGACGGCGGTCCCAAAAAGCGAGACGGCGGTGTCGCTGCCGTCAAAACGAGGCGGTCGGAGCGACACGATGGTTCTGACTTTCCATTTTTTGCGTTTTTATTGGTGTGGTTACAACGCCTTTAGGTTGTCCGATAACCGGGTTGAACCTAGGGGCGAGGTTTTCGAAAAGGCATTCTTGGATTGTCCGATAACCGGACTAAACCAAAAACTAGTTTTTGAAGGGTTCTTCTGGAGTCGCCACCGACGTTTTTACCGGAAACATCAGAAAAGGAATTAAAAGGCGTTGGTTTTCGAAAAACCAACTTTGGTCATTAGAACCAGAGTTGGGTAAGGGAGATAGTTACGTGTGAGGGAAGTGTTAGTTCCCTTATGACGCCCCTTTCGAGTTCCCTATGATGGGCTAGCTACTTTGGATAAATAAATAAACCGGTGAAAAATACGCTTTTACCCTTTATTTTGCGGAATTTAAAATTATGACTACATGGCCCTAGTTTCTATTGCATAATTTAAAATTAAAGCACTAAAGTAGAGAGAGAGAGAGTGAAAACCTCCAAAGCAAGCTTTTCTATTGATCTTTTGCAATTAGGGTGCTTTTTGGCAGCCCTTCGCTCTTTTACAGTGCCAGAATATCTCAAAACGCTCTAAAACACTCTAGAAAACTCTCAGAAACTCCGGAAATGCTTCGGAGGGGTTCTAGAAAGGGAATTTGGTGAAAAGTCTAGAGAGAGAATGGAAGAACTGTGTGAAATGAGGGGAATGACGCTCCTATTTATAGGGATTCGTGCTTGTCAGGTCGAGACGGGCCGTCTCGTCTGACAAGGACGACCGCCAATTGAGACGGCGGTCTCGACCTTAAAAGGCGAAAATCCTTATTTTTGGGCCAAAAATCCCTCCTATCCTAGTATGGGTCCTAATAGTCTCTCCTAATGGCTTCTTAGGCTTCATCCATCTTCAAAAAGGAGGTCTTCTGGTCTTTATTATGAGGCCGAGCAAGATTTGGGGTCTACAGCTGCCCCCCCTTTACCCGACTGGTTGACTGCTGGCCTGCTGCGCCAAGGAGATCGATTGCAGGGTAAAGGAGTTGACCCTCTTGCCCGGTTGTCCTTCAGACGTTCCGACTTGCGGCGATTGATCTTCTGGAAAAAGGGTGTGCTTCCAGGATGCTTCTTCTGGCGATAGCTGATCCTTTCGGCTGATAAGTACGAACCCCTATCTGGTTTGACAAGTATGAACCCTCGTCCGGTAAGCCCCCTTTTGTAAGGCCTAATGAGTATACACCCCCATCTGGTGTTTGACGAGTATGAACCCCCGTCCTATAAGCCTCCTTTTGTAAGGTCTGATGAGTATACACCCCCATCTGGTGTTATGCCTCTGGATGCTCCTTCTTGCGGTAGCCTATCCTTTGGCTGTGGTGGCGGCTTACTGCTCTAGCTCATGCGCCGGTGTTGAGATGTGTTCTCTTGTCTTTGATTTGGTCATCCGGTCGGTGTCGGGGATTTTGTTGGTGTTCATCCAGCTTCATTGGTTGCTGGGGATTCTTTGTTTTTGGTCTTTTAATGATTGTAGACCCCAAATCTTGCCCGAACCTCTAATAAAGTCGAAGATCGCCCATTCCGAAGATGGTTAAGACTTTATCAAGTCCCTAGTAGATTGTTCTAGGTTCCATTTAGGATAGGAAGGGTTTTTAGAGGCATTAAAAATCGGGAAATCCGCCAGAGACAGTAGATGGCCGTCCAGAACAGGCGGATGGCCGTCCAAAGCAGGTAGAGGGCCGTCCATGACAAGCAGACGGCCGTCCATGGCAACTTTAAGGCCATGGATGGCCGTCCACTTAGCTTGGACGGCCGTCCATGGCCACTTTTTGCCCTGGACGGCCGTGCGCTTTGTACAGACGGTCGTCCACCTTTTCCAGGCCCGAATCCCTATAAATAGGGGCCTCATTCCTCCGAATTTTCACACCTTTTCCACTCCTCCACTCTCTTGGAAGCTTTTTGGCACTTGAGAGTGACCTTGAGCATTATTCCAGGGTTCGAGGGAGCTTTCCGATTTCCTTTAAGGTTGAAATCGGTTAAGGAAGTCTCTTTTTGAGGCATCCGACCCTCGGTAGAGTGATTTGTCTTTATTTTGAGGAAGGAGCGTGCTTGTAGAGTGCGGGGACTGCCAAAAAGCGTCCTCACGCTTTAGAAGAGTTAATATAGAGCTCGCTTTGGAGGTTCCTTCTCTATTCTCTGTCTCTTTTACTGCTTTCTTTATCGCTTTCTTTGTGTGCATTAGATAATAGAGCCATGTAGATATTTAAATTCTGCAAGTAGATCAAATAATATGGTAAAAATGTAATTTCTTTAAGCGTTTATTTTCTAAGTTAGTCCATCATAGGGAACCCGAAAGGGGCATTGTGGGGGTGCTAACACCTTCCCCACACGTAACTAACTCCCTTACCCGACTCTGGTTGTAATGGCCAAAGTTGGTTTTTTCTAAAACCATTGCCTTTTTCTTTTTTACCTTTTTCAGTGTTTAAGGTTAAAACACTGATGGCGACTCCTCGAACCTATTCGAAAACCTCGCCTTTAGGTCTAGCCCGGTTATCGGACGACCTAAAGGCATTGAACCGTTTCTTTCAAAGAAAATGCGAGTCAAATAAAAACCATCGTGTCGCTCCGACCGCCTCTTCTGACGGCGGCGACAATGATGATCACCCGACTCTTGCTGGTTGGTCGGGTGGGCTTTGTTTGTGTTCGACTCTTGGTTGGTTGTCGAAGAATTTTGGTTGTTTTTGGGATACATAATTGACAAGGTCTTACCGGGATACCTTGAGTGTTCACCATGCAAGCATGAAACTGCTCTTCTTATATGAATGTTTTTTGGGTCTTTTATTTATCTGAAGTATATTTGTTGGTTTTGATTCTGACAAAGTCATTTTTGTGCAATTACTTGTGTGTGGATGCTTTTGATGCAATTTATTTTAGTTGAGGGCATCTAGAAAGTGACCGGTACTTTCTTTTTGTTCTCTCGTGAGTATTTTGTTTTTAACCCTATTTTTTGCCTAGACCGCCCTTTGCGGGTTTTCGATCTAGCGAGCTTAATCCTTGCCTGGTGGGTTTTTTTTTTTTTTTTAACGAATGCCTTAACTTTTGCCTAGACCGCCCTTTGCGGGTTTTCAATCTAGCAGGTTACCTTATGCTTTTGGTTGGGATGGGCTTGGTCGGCGCTATTTGTCTTGTTTTTCTTATGCTTTCTCGTGTTGTTTATTTTATGCATGCTCATATTTCGTTAATGCAGAGACATTCACATAGGTAAAGAGAAGAAAAGACAATTTTTATTGATATAACCAAATGGTCTGTTTTTACAGAGGGATCTTCAAAGGAATTTGTAAGCAAGGCTGGCCAAGGTTGGCTAAACTGTATAGGGTATAACAATCATGCCCATGATTTCTGTTTCTCTGTTTCTCCTGGTCACTTTGATTGAGATGCTCGAACTCGGAGTGAAGACTATGTGAAGTCTGCTTGCCTCCATGAAGGTATTACCTTAGTCGCCTTTGCGGTTTTCGGCTAAGGTAATCATTGCTCTTTTCTTTGTTTTTTTGTTTGTTGTGTGTTTTTTTTTGGAACCTCTAATTTTTGCCTAGGACGTATCATAGCGAGGGATACAGACCCTATCTTTTGCCCAGGACGCTCTTTGCGAGTTTTCATCCTGACGGGTCGTGAGCAATGTCTTCAGGCATAGTACTTCTTTACCGCATCTGAGTTAACAGGATGTCGAAGCTCTTCTCCGTCCATGTTGGTGAGGATGAGGGCTCCTCCTGAGAAGGCTCGTTTGACCACGAAGGGTCCTTTTTAATTTGCTGTCCATTTTCCAATTTTGTCTTTCTGGGTTGGGAGCAGTTTCTTTATTACTAGATCCCCTTCTTGGAAAGTGCGAGGATTGACCTTCTTGTCATAGGCTTTCTTGATCTTCTTTTGGTAAGCTTTCCCCCAACATATGGCGTCCAGCCGTTTCTCTTCGATTAGGTTTAGCTGATCGTATCAGCTTTGGACCCATTCGGCTTCTGTCAACTTTGCTTCCATGACCACTCGCAGGGCGGGTATTTCAACTTCTACTGGTAATACAACTTCCATTCCATATACAAGGGAAAACGGAGTGGCCCTTGTAGAGGTTCGTACCGACGTTCTGTAGCTGTGTAGGGCGAAGGGCAGCATTTCGTGCCAATCTCTGTAGGTTACTATCATCTTCTGGATGATCTTCTTGATGTTCTTATTGGCTGCCTCTACTGCACTGTTCATCTTTGGCCGGTACGGAGAAGAATTGTGGTGTTGAATTTTGAAGTCTTGACACAGTTCCTCCATCATTTTATTATTGAGATTGGTCCCATTATCAGTAATGAGCCTATGAGGGATGTCGTACCGACATAGAATATTTTTCTTGATGAAGGTGGTCACCACTTTCCGAGTCACATGTGCATATGATGCTTCCTCCACCCATTTGGTGAAGTAGTCAATGGCCACCAAGATAAAATGATGGCCATTAGATGCTTTGGGTTCTATGGGCCCGATGACGTCCATGCCCACATAGAAAATGGCCATGGTGTAGCCAGGGTACTGAGGGGTGTGGGCGGCACGTGGATATTATTGGCGTAGATTTGGCACTTGTGACACTTTTTAGCATACTGGCGACAATCGGCTTCCATTGTGGACCAAAAGTATCCCGCCCTTAAGATCTTCTTCGCCATGACATGTCCAGGTGCGTGGGTCCCAAAAGCTCCTTTGTGGATTTCTTTTATCAAGGTTTGGGCTTCTTCTTGGTCCACACACCTTAAGAGAGTGGAGTCGAGACTCTTTTTGTAGAGGGTTCCTTCAAGCAACGTGAACCCTACTGCCCTTTTACGAATGGTTCATTTATCATTGTCATTAATTCCCTCAGGATATTCGCCCCTCATGAGATATTGTTTGATGTCATGATACCAGGGATTTCGGTCGTGTTCGCCATTTACTGCCATGCAAAAAGCTTGTTTGTCATGCAGCTTGATTTGGATGATTGGCATTTCATGTTTTTGATCTAAGGCAAACATGGATGATAGAGTGGCGAGAGCGTCTGCGAATTGATTGTCTTCCCGAGGAATATACTGGAAGGTGACGCTTTCCATTCCTGAGACCAGATCTTGGATGTTCTCTAGATATGGGATCAATTTAGAGTTGTGGGTTTCCCATTCGCCTTTAAGTTGGTAGATGACAAGGGATGAATCACCAAAGACTTTGAGTTTATTAACCCCATGATCTAAAGCTGCTTGGATCCCTAATGCGCATGCTTCATATTCGGCCATGTTGTTGGTACAGTCAAAATTAAGCCTGGCTGTTACGGGGATGTGTTTCTTTTCAGGGGATATCAAAATAGCCCCTATCCCGTGTCCAAGCATGTTTGAGGCCCCATCGAAGAACATGATCCACACCTCTTCTTTGGTCTCTTCGTGTTCAATATGCATGATATGCTCATCGGGAAAGTCGTCTTGTAGGGACTGATATTCGTCCATTGATCCATGGGCTAGGTAATCCGCTAGGGGGCTACCTTTAATAGCTTTCTGGGTGACATGAATGATGTCAAATTCTGAGAGGAGAACTTGCCACCTAGCTATTCTTCCAGTCAGAATGGGCTTCTCGAAGAGGTACTTAATTGGGTCCATTTTGGAGACCAGCCATGTCGCATGCCGAGCCATATATTGTCGGAGACGCTGAGTGACCCACACCAATGCGCAACAGGTTTTTTCGAATGGTGTATAACGGGTTTCATAGTCTAGGAATTTCTTGCTGAGATAGTAAATGGCTCGCTCTTTCTTCCCGGTTTCATCTTGTTGACCGAGCACGCATCCCATAGACTCTTCGAGTATTGACAAGTATAGGATCAAAGGTCTCCCTTCAATGGGTGGTACCAATACCGGCGGATTGGTTAAACATGTTTTGATTTTATCAAATTCTTGTTGGCATTCTTCATTCCACACCGTTGGTTGATTTTTGCGCAACAGTTTAAAGATGGGTATACATTTGTCTGTTACCTGCACGATGAAATGAGCAATATAGTTAATCCAGCCTAGAAAACCTCTAACCTCCTTTTCCGTTCTTGGGGAAGGCATTTCCAAAATTTCCTTGGTTTTGTCGGGGTCCACTTCAATTCCTCTTTTGCTGATAATGAACCCTAATAGTTTTCCCGAGCGTACTCCGAAAGTACATTTTGCCGGGTTTAGTTTAAGTTGATATTTCTGAAGTCAATCAAAAAGCTTTTTGAGGTATTGAATGTGGTCTATCTCATTTCTAGACTTGGCGATCATGTCATCCACATATACCTCTATTTTCTTGTGGATCATGTCATGGAACAATGTGACCATAGCCCTTTGATAGGTAGCCCCTGCATTCTTAAGCCAAAAAGGCATTACGCGGTAGCAAAAGGTGCCCCATGGTGTAATGAAGGAGGTTTTTTCTCTGTCCTCGACGGCCAACTTAATTTGGTTGTACCCCGCGTATCCGTCCATGAAGGAGTAAAGCGTGTTAGTAGCGGTATGGTCTACCAGCGTGTCTATATGTGGTAGGGGGAAGTCATCTTTTGGACTTGCTCGATTGAGGTCTCTATAATCCACACATACCCTGACCTTCCCGGTCTTTTTGATGACGGGTACTATGTTGGCCAACCATTCTGGGTATTTGGAAACTACCACAAAATTGGCGTCCAATTGCCTTTGTACTTCCTCCTTGATCATTAAGGACCAGTCGGGTTTGATTCTTCTGAGTTTTTGCTTTATAGGTCGGAACCCTTCTTTCAATGGCAATCTATGCTCCACTATACTTGTGTCAAGCCCGGGCATGTCATGATAGGACCAAGCGAATACATCTATATATTCTTTTAGAAGTCGTATCAACCCCTTTTTCATACTACTTTCCATTTGGGTGCCTATGTTT